CTTCCTTCTCCTCCCCAAAAACCGAGCATTTTCTTTGGGTGGAGGGCAGAGGGTGAAATCTGCAACGCCGGTTCGATGGATTTGCGAGGCTGGAATCTGCAAAAGCTGAATCACAAGACGAATTGATATTCGAGGTGCAAAAGCCCAAATGAATTGCACCCTGAGCCCTCCACCCTAAGAACATGCTCAGAAAACATGGGTCGCACCAGTTTCGGCCGCCTCTCCCCCACCTCGAACCGAAGAGGCCAGCGAGTATCCCCGCACTACCAGAGACTGTTGAGCCTGGCGCTTTGCACGGCCTCTGCCCCGTGTCCATGTTCTCCGGGGCCACCGTGCCTTGCCGAGAAGTTTTACGCAGCCGCGGATCGTCATTGAACGCTCGACTGCAACTTTGTATAACGTTTTGGTGGTCCTTCTGTTTCGCCCGAGCGGATGCACCACCTGGGCCCCCGTAGCCTTAGCGTGCGCACTGTGCGCCCGATTGTTTCAAGAGTCCAGTGGCAGCCGCATCGCAGCGTTTGGCTGCCTCGCGCTGAAGATTTTGCCCATGCGAGACCCGCGTCCGCATTACGCCGCGTTTATTGGCGGCAAACCGCGCGACTGGCCAGCCATTATTTCCCTGCGATACCCGCTTGGCGGCCCACGATGCGCCCAAGACGGCCCAGGCCCAGGACGGCTCCAAGAGGGGTCCAAAAGGGGGGACTGGACCTGACAGTGCGAGCCATCAAAGCAGCACATGAGTTCCCCGTTGGTCCCAAAGGGGTTCCAGGAGGCCCCCTATGAGACGGCCCTTCAAGCCCCCCCCCCCCCTTTACTCTGGCCCTTTTTTGTTCTGAATTAGACGTCAGGCACTGTGCTGCTGCGGCAAATGAAAAGACAGCGGAGATCCCGCCGTAACTGAAGCCGTCTTCTGAACAGCATTGTCGCCCCGTCTCATGCACGACACACGTTGCCATCTGAGTCGAAAAAAATGTGGGTTGATAAGTAGGACGCCCGCAGCGCTAGCAAGATGGACGTGCGCTGGTCCACGGGGAATTGACGAACGTGTCATCTGGGCGAAACATGCTACATAGACGAAAAGGCGCGAACCCTCTCCTCCGACGGCGCATTTCTTTCGTGACGCAGGCCCCCATGGATCTTGCCCTCTTACAGGGCACCAGCTTTTTTTATCCTGGGCAGTTTGAGCAACGTCCCTGGATGCCGAAAACGACGGTTTGCTTCAGTTGCCGCATCGCATGGACCCAGACACCGACGATATAATGTTTTTCAATGCGCGGCCCCAGAGGTCCCGACCAGATGCATTTCTGATTGTCCACGGGCTCAATTGCAGGCCCCGTAAGCCGACATATATATATATATATATATATATATATATATATATATATATATATTATCATACGCACCTCTCCGAGGGAGTAGAGCTCAGAGGCGATTAATGCGTCCGTCGTTCGCGATGTTTCTGGCCGTTTCGCTCGGGACATCCTCGAAATTCTGAAAATCGGTGGCACCCCTCACGCAGATCGTGACGTCAGGGTCCAAAAACACATAGGATTTCCAACATTTTATCATAAAACCTTCAAAAACACATGGTAATTTCAATGATTTTGACTCCGATTCTCAGAGAATGGCGGTTTCGCCTGAGACATCCTCCCAAAATCGAGCCCCAGACCCCTCCTCGGAGCCTCCTGGGGGCCTCCTGGAACCTCCTGGGGCCTCCTGGGGCTTTCTGGACCTTCTGGTACCCCAGACCCCGCCTCGGAGCCTCCTGGAGTTCTCCTGGGCCTGCTGAGGCCGCCTGGGGCCTCCTGGGGCCTCCTGGGGCCTCCTGGGGCTTCAGAACTACATGCACACACAGAGACACAAATCACGCCCAACACATCACACGCTAGACAAACATAACATACACACACACACAACACCGACAACACGCAAAAAGCACGCACCACACAAAGCACACATCACACACACACACACAACACTCACAATCCTGGGGCCTCCTGGAGCCTCTCCTGGTATCCAAGTCGGGCCTCCTGAGGCTTCCTGGGGGGCCCTGGTACACACATCGCAAGGTGTGGCAACCCCACTTGCGCTCGAGTGCGACTTCGCTGTTGCATGTCACTCCTGCTTCAAACGCCCCTTCAGCTTGTTGTATGAGCCTGGGCACACACGTGCCACTTGTGTATATATATATATATATAAAACCCATATTCACAATAGAGAACATATCGTTTCAGATCTCGGTACCTATCTCAGACCTCGCCCTTCAGGATCTCGCGGGGTTCTTTACCGGGCGGCGCTCCATGGCCCACCCTCGTCCGCGCCCATACCGCGGGCCATGATGTGCTAATCCCCTCTTCTTGCCCCCTCTGCGGCGAACCCGACCTGAGAGAATCAGTACCCATCCCAGACCACGCCCTGCCCTGCCCACCTCCATACTGCTCCTCCTGCTCCTCCTCCTACTTTTCCGCCTCCTCCTCCTCCTCCGCCGCCTCCTCCTCCTCCTCCTCCTCATCCTCTTTCTTCTGAAATCGGATAACCTCTCGTAATTCAGGGCTTGGAAGCTTCCGCGGATGCCAAGCCTGAGGCCCTTAGTAGGGGCATCGGCACCATCGAGGGGGGCCTTGAGCCCCCGAGGCCCCATTTCACGTTTGACCCTACTATCTCTCGGCAGCATGGGCGGCTTGTTATATGATCTGGTCTCGTTCGCGATCGGTCATGCGTAAGCTCAAATGCACGAGTGTTGATGGGCAGCACACGCTTCATCGTGCGGGTTCTATGTATGTATGTTCGATATGTGAGGCTTAGGCTGATCAGCACGCCAGAGGCCTCTCGGAGCAATCATTGCCGACCAACCGTCGTCTTGGCGGCATGATCACATATTAGCGCTTGCACCGCCTCCAGAATCTGTCGAGAAGTTGCCACCCTAAGCCTGGCGCTTTCCTTGGTCCGCCAGTGTTGCTGCGCGCGAGAAAGGTGCCCGCTCAGTTGTCACCGTTGCCGGTGTTCTCTCTCTCTCTCTCTCTCGTTCTCTCTCGCTCTCTCTCTCTCTCTCTATCTCTCTCTCTCTCTCTCTCTCTCTCTCTCCCTTGTCTATCGTTCTCTCTCTGTCGGAGGTTGAGGAGGGGAGTCGGGGCAAGAGCGCACGTAGCTTCTTGGCACCCAGGCCTTTACGACCTTTTGGGATGAGTTTGTTGGCCTTCCCGAAGCCAGCGACTCGGGCGACTCCGTTTGAGTCCCCGTAGTTGGCGAATGCTCCTTGTCAAGCTGGCCACGCGCTTGGGCATGGTCTCTGTCAGGTCTAACCTCTTCCTCCTCTCTCTGTCCTTCCTCCGCCTCCTGCCCCTCCTCCTCCTCCTCCTTCTCCCCATCCCCTCCCCGTCTCCTCCTCCTCCTCCTCCTCCTCCTCCTCCTCCTCCTCCTCCTCCTCCTCCTCCTCCCCCCCTTCCTCCTCCTCCTCCTCTTCCTCCTCCTCCTCCTCCTCCTCCTCCTCATCCTCCTCAAGTGTCTATCCCACGTGCTTCTGCTGTTGCTGCTGTTCCTCATCCTCCTCCTCCTCCTTCTCCTCCGCCTCCTCTTCTCTTCCCTCCTCCCAGGGGGTAAGAAGCAGCCTGACTGCAGTCCGTCAAACAAATACTCGAGATGACGAGATGGCCCTGGGGAAAGGGCCAGGAACTCGGGGGGCAGAGGTTCGAGGAGAACGAGGAGGAAGATGACCAGGGCTGTCCGCAGTCTTGTCGGTCCGGCTGCTTTGCAGTCGGCCGAGTTCGATCGGTTCGGTTCGGTCCGTTCTTGCGTCGCTTTGTCCCGTCTTGGCGGTCCCTCGGTCCCTCGGATTAGGTCGGTGTCGGTTTCGCTATAGGCTGCAGGTTCGGCGCGGTCGGTTGTTGGATGTCGACGCGGACGTCTATGCTTTGAATGAGGAGGAGGAGGAGGAGGAGGAGGAGGAGGAGGAGGAGGAGATTGGAAACAACACCTTGTGTGAGCATTCAGCTGCCCAAAAGAAGCAGGCTCTATGAGGAGGCCACCCGCTTGCCCACCTCTCGGGCGGGCAGCGGTGGAGGGGTTCCCAAGCCACCGGCGTTTCGAATAGCAAATCGGGGATCGAGGTTCGAGGGTCCAGGCGTTTGGACGAGGACCATGTTTAGAGCCTCCAGGTTGAATGATCCTCTGCTATGCAGTCACACAGGGGCTGGGGGATCTCTCCTCCTCCTCCTCCTCCTCCTCCTCCTCCTCCTCCTCCTCCTCCTCCTCCTCCTCCTCCTCCTCCTCCCTCGCTCATCCTCCTCATCCCTCCTCTTTCCTTATACTCTCCTCTTCTCCCCTCTCATCATCCTCCCCATGCTTGCTAGGAGGCTGCCTGTGCATTGAATTATTTGTTTGATGCAGGGTGTTGGACGAGGATCGAGGCTTGGATATCCAGGTTTGGGCGAGGATCTGGTTAACATCGAGGATCGAGCATTGTTTGTTGTTCGTTCACCAAGCCTCGAGTTTCTAAGATCAAGGTTTGAGGATCCTCGCGACGCGAGGCTCGAGGATGTTGAGGATTTGTTTTCAGAGGTGTGAGGATTTGCTTCTGCCCGATTGAGCTACGTTCGAGGATCGAGGCTTGAATTTCGAGGATCCAGGTTGTTCGCCGTTTGTCGCCTTGCTTTGGGGCCTCCAAGAGGCTTCGTCGCAACGGCTGGTTTCCCCTGGAGGGGCTGGTCAGAACGCACGTCCAGAGAGGTCAGGGGCTCGAAGTTGAGGACCAGATCCAGACCTCCAGGGCAACAATTAAGATTGAGGATATTCGCCGCTCTCGTCCTTCTGGGGTCGTTTGCGGGCCAGCGCACCCGCTTTGCCCAGGCGCTTGTGGCGATATGCTTCTGCCGTCACCCCGTTTGGGCGGTCACGCGCTGACCATGTGGGGTGATATAGAAGTAGGATGATCCTTATTTATTTTGGCTCAAGCCACTCGGGCACCACTACGTTGCACGATCCCGAGCGACTCGCGCGGCGGCATGGCACACCCTGAGCCGAACGACGCGGGCGACCCGCCGCCGCGCCGCTGCGTCGGCCGCTTCACCTTGGAGCCCTGGGAGCTGCCCCCGGTCTCGGACGACTGGCTCTTCGCCGGCCTGGCCGACCCCGGCGAGCGGCCCAGGCTCAGGAGGAGGAAAAACACACAGACACAAATTAATTGTCGATTCCCCGGAAAAGATGGGAAAATATAGGAAGTGGGGGGGAAGACAAGAACCCAGAAAATATGGGGGATCCTGTCATTCGTGTGTATTTATTTGTGTGTCCCAGGGCCCCTTCACAGGCGCGCGGCGGCGCCGCCGCGCCGCCTGAGGCGGCCCCTTGGGCTCTCGGCGCAGGTGCAGGCGGCGGTGCCCGCGGGCGGGCTGCCGCCCGGACTCCGCACCGGGGCCAGCACGCACGCGAGCAGCACGACCGGTTCCGGCCCAGGCCTCAGCGATGTCAGCAGTGTTGCGTCCGAGTGCGGTTCTGAGGCCAGCGTGGCGGAGGGGTCCGAGTGCGGCTCTGAGGCCAGCGTGGCGGAGGTGTCCGAGTGCGGCTCTGAGGCCAGCGGGAGGGAGGCCAGTTCGCGCGTCGGCCTGTGATTGTTCCATCGAAGAAGCAAGGAACGACATGAGCATACAATCAACACTTGCGAAGTAAATACTTGTGCGGCTGGTTAGGCCGCATGGGGATGCCCACACGTTGTGCCGCGCTTCTCTCTCCAGTTTTGCTTTCGGCGCTCCTGTGGTTTGCCCGGGTACCCGTCCAGAGCGCAAGGGATTTTATAAAGTTTGTCCGCTCTTCGTCCCCATTAACTCCCTTCTCCTCCCCAAAAACCGAGCATTTTCTTTGGGTGGAGGGCAGAGGGTGAAATCTGCAACGCCGGTTCGATGGATTTGCGAGGCTGGAATCTGCAAAAGCTGAATCACAAGACGAATTGATCTTCGAGGTGCAAAAGCCCATATGGATTGCACCCTGAGCCCTCCACCCTAAGAACATGCTCAGAAAACATGGGTCGCACCAGTTTCGGCCGCCTCTCCCCCACCTCGAACCGAAGAGGCCAGCGAGTATCCCCGCACTACCAGAGACTGTTGAGCCTGGCGCTTTGCACGGCCTCTGCCCCGTGTCCATGCTCTCCGGGGCCACCGTGCCTTGCCGAGACGTTTTACTACGCAGCCGCGGATCGTCATTGAACGCTCGACTGCCACTTTTTAAATAACGTTCAGGTGTTCCTTCTGTTTCGCCCGAGCGGATACACCACCTGGGCCCCCGTAGCCCTAGCGCGCGCACTGTGCGCACGATTGTTTCAGAGAGTCCAGTGGCAGCCGCATCGCAGCGTTTGGCTGCCTCGCGCTGAAGATTTTGCCCATGCGAGACCCGCGTCCGCATTACGCTGGCCAGCGATTGTTTCCCTGCGATACTCGCTTGGCGGCCCACGATGCGCCCAAGACGGCCCAGGCCCAGGACGGCTCCAAGAGGGGTCCAAAAGGGGGGACTGGACCTGACAGTGCGAGCCATCAAAGCAGCACATGAGTTCCCCGTTGGTCCCAAAGGGTTCCAGGAGGCCCCCTATGAGACGGCCCTTCAAGCCTAACCCCCCCCTTTACTCTGGCCCTTTTTTGTTCTGAATTAGACGTCAGGCACTGTGCTGCTGCGCAGCATTGTCGCCCCGTCTCATGCACCACACACGTTGCCATCTGAATCGAAAAAAATGTGGGTTGATAAGTAGGACGCCCGCAGCGCTAGCAAGATGGACGTATGCTGGTCCACGGGGAATTGAGGAACGTGTCATCTGGGCGAAACATGCTACACAGACGAAAAGGCGCGAACCCTCTCCTCCGACGGCGCATTTCTTTCGTGACGCAGGCCCCCATGGATCTTGCCCTCTTACAGGGCACCAGCTTTTTTTATCCTGGGCAGTTTGAGTAACGTCCCTGGATGCCGAAAACGACGGTTTGCTTTAGTTGCCGCATCGCATGGACCCAGACACCGACGATATAATGTTTTTCAATGCGCGGCCCCAGAGGCAGAGGTCCCGACCAGATGCATTTCTGATTGTCCACGGGCTCAATTGCAGGCCCCGTAAGCCGACACACACACATATATATATATATATAACCCATATTCACAATAGAGAACATTTCGTTTCAGATCTCGGTACCTATCTCAGACCTCGCCCTTCAGGATCTCGCGGGGTTCTTTACCGGGCGGCGCTCCATGGCCCACCCTCGTCCGCGCCCATACCGCGGGCCATGATGTGCTAATCCCCTCTTCCTGCCCCCTCTGCGGCGCACCCGACCTGAGAGAATCAGTACCCATCCCAGACCACGCCCTGCCCTGCCCACCCGTGGGACGTTGCCAGAGCTGTCCTTGGCCCAGGGTGCCTCCAGCATTTCCAAGGAGACCCCGACAGCCTCCACAGCACCTTTCACAAGGCCCAGCGGAAGCTTGAAACACCTCGGGTCAGGAAGATCAGCCGGCAGGTGACGGGGTTCCGCGCAAACGGAGCTCAGTCGGAGCAACGGATCCTGCAGGGTCCTGCAAAGCCAGGTTTGGGCCGATTTGGATCTGGGATTCGCCTGAGGCTCTGGAGGTGGCCTTCCAAAGCTGGGCCAGGTTTGGGAAGCCCCCCAAGCACGCAGCGCAGTCTCTCTTCCAGAGGTTGTGCTGTGTCATCCTCTGGCGCGTCACGCTCCTCACCCAGGCCGAACCTTCCCACCCCCCGGGTAACGGCAACGATCATACGTAGGGGGCGGGGGCCCGGGCCCCGCCCCGCCCACCACGTGCTGTTGCTCGCGCGCGCACCGCGGCGATCGCAGCGCACCCCCGAAGCCCCGACGTGCCCCACCCCGCCGAAGCGTCACGACTTGCCCCCGCCCGTAGCGAACGCTACCGGAAATAGAGAAAACAAATCTCCTGAATTGATTGAGTCGTCGTCCTCCTCCTCCCTCCTTCGCCTCCTCCTCCTCCTCCTCCTCCTCCTCCTCCTCCTCCTCCTCCTCCTCCTCCTCCTCCTCCTCCCTCCCTTTTTTTCAAACTGGGTCGTCGCTTACGCAGACGTGGCGCCCAACGTCGCACCTGACCAGTCGGGCCGAACCCAGCCGTGTCAGTCCACGCCCGATGACACCTGCTACAGCCCTTGGACCTTCTCGCCCAGCGCCCAGCGTCCACTTCGAACCAGCTGGGCCCATCCGATTCGATTCTGGTACTCCGACGGTCCTTTGCGGCCCGTTGGCTGCATGGCGTTGCTGTGCATCTTGGCGCAGCCGATCCGCTTCGACTCCGCCTCCGCGCCGATGCGGCCCGATCTGTGTTTGAATTCCAGTCACTTCCTTATCAGATCCTCACATACCGCGACGACATAGGCTCGGGTATTGGTATAACACCGACAGCGCACTGCTCCCTTCGCAGTGCACTGGAAGAGGAGACCTGTTCCTCGCCTCTGCCTACGGACCTCGTATAGGAACGGCCCCTCGGCCGTCTCCCTATACACGCGCATTTCGATTGGATCCGATGTGCCGGTTCGATTTCGATTGGATCCGATTTGATTGGATTAGGATCCGACGCGCATTTCGATTGGATCCGATCGATTTCGATTAGGATCCGACGATTACGCATTTCGATTAGGATCCGATCGATTTCGATTCCGATTTCCCTATACACGCGCATTTCGATTAGGATCCGACGGCGCATTTCGATGGGATCCGAGGTGCCGGTTCGACGCTGATCGATCCTGCGCGCCCCGCGCAGGCCGCCGGAGGGCGGCTTCCGCCGCCGCCCGCCGCCCCCGACGCGCCGCCGGCACAACAAGCTGCAGGGGGTGCTCCACGAGGACCGCGCGGCCGCGCGGGGGGCCGACGTCGGAGGCCAGGCCACAGAGTCCCACATATGCACAGATTTTGCATACGTGCACACATGCTTACATACACACGTGCGAACTTGCGTACTTGCATGCGTCAGTGTTTGCGCACTTACGTATTCAAGCACGTGCGCACGTACGTGCATACATGCATGCATACACACGTGCATACATGCATGCATATACATTCGGCCCATGCATACATACATGCATGCATCCATGCATGCATGCATGCATACCTACCTACCGACCTATCTGCATACCGACCTACCTCCTTGCTTACATGCATGCATGCACGCATGCAAACATACATACGCACATGCACACCTGCATACATACACATGCAAGTACATGCATGCATGCATAAACATATACATATACAGTTGCCTATACAAAGGCATATGCATACCTATACGTATTTATATACACCTCTGCATGCATATGTACATGTACATATGCATATACATACACACATACACACATACACATGCACATACACATACACATACATATATACATGCATGCATGCATGCATGCATACATACATACATATGGGGAAAAAGGGGCTCCAGGGGCCCAGGGGAGCACTGATTTTGTACACGGCCGTTTTGGATCGGCTGGCTCACCTGGGTTTGCGCAAATCCAGCTTAGTGCGTCCCCGACTTTTTTGACGGGCTCGTCCTGAATTTTGAGCGGTCCAGTTTGCGTGGATGTCTGCAGAGGGAGCTGACGGCCCTGCCAGGCCAACCAAGCCGAGTCTCACGTCTGCCCGACAGAAGCATTTGGTCGTCCCCATGGCGCCCAATAGCGCAACAGCGCCTAATATTGCGCAAAGCGGACGCAATACATTTCCTGCGCATGGCGTTGTTGGGCGCTATTTCGTCGTATTCGGCGCAAATGGGTGCTGCGGTCGCGTTATTGGGCGCCATCGGGCTCTGCACATGCAAGGCAAGACGAGCAGAAGCTTCGCGACGTACCATCTGACAGGGGAGGACCTGAATCTCCGACGATATATTCTTCTTTTTTCAGTGCGGACGTTTTTCCTTGGTTTCGGACTCTGGGGCAGGTTGATCGGCCATGGGGCAGTCGAACATGGATCCCGGACGAAGGACCACACCTGGGGAAGCGATCGGGACCTCTCGGGCTGAGCGTTGAGGGAACACCAGATCGTGGGAGATTTTTTGGGGTAGGCTCCGGATGGCCCGTCCCGCCCATGAACGTGCGGATTCGTTCGGGTGCCCACCGCCGATTTATCGGCCATCTATCGCCGATTCCAGCTTAATTGTTCCTCCCCTGAGCTGGTCCCCCCCCTAAAGTTGTCCCTCACAGGAGGGGACCCTGATCCCCGAGGATCCCTGATGTTTCAGCCTGGGCATGTTTCCTTTGTTTCGGCCACCGGAGCCTCTCCAAGCGAACGGCTTCGAGCCTTTCCTGGGGATCTGCCAGCGTGGGTAGTCAGGTGTGGGTTGTGTTCTTGCCTGTGTCGGCCGCTTGAGGCGCTGTGACTCCCTGTACGCTTTGCCTCGTTTCGATTCGCCTCCATCTCTTGCTGTGTTGCATCTTGTGCAATGGGCGCTCGAGGCCAGTAGGGGTTTCAAAGCGTTGCCGCTTCCCGTTGCCACTTGCCTGGGCAGGCATGTTTGACGTCCGCGTTGCCATTTCCTCTCCTTCCTTCTACTCCCTTCATTCTCTCCCTGTGGCTGCTCATGCTCTTGTGGAGCGGGCGCTTCACGAACACGGCTCGGCGTCGGTACTTTCGCATATAGCTTCAATGTTGTTGTTGGTGCTTCCATGGATTAACCCAGACTCCCACTTGGTGGACGTGAACGTTCGCCCGATGCTGGTGAAAATCGCAGTTGTATGCCCGGGCACTCCGCGTTCCGCCCACCCGGGCGTTTTCTACGGAAGGAAGTCCGAAAATCTAAGACGCAGTGGATATGGATATGAATAAGTCATGCTTACATTGTCGCTGACCTGCCGGTGCTCGTTGCGCGCGCCGCTCTCGCCCAGGGGCGCCTCACGGTTTGGCCAGCTCGGCTGCGCCATCGCAGCCGGCTGCGTTCGTCATGAGGAAAAAACGCAGACACAATGAATCGTCGATTCCCCAACAAATATGGGAAAATATGGGAAGTGGGTGTGAAGACACAAACCCAGAAAATATGGTAACATATAAGGAATCCTGTTATTTGTGTATATTAATTTGTGTGTCCCAGGGCTCCTTCAGTTCGGTCGGTCGGTCGGTCGGTCGGTTGGTGCGTCGTTGTTGCGCTACTGCGTCGTGCCTTGCATTCGCTAGATCTGGTCTCGGCTCCGCTGCGGATCCGATCGGCTTTCCGAGTCTGGTGTTAAGTCGGGCCCGCCCTTCTACAGGAGGGAAATTCAAAAATGAGGGCATTCTTGGAGCATTTTTATTTTTTGTCGAAAATCCCCCCTGTAGGGGGACACGCCCGAATCAAGTCTGGTGCCGCCGTTGGCGGCCATTCTGCTCAGGCGGAAGGCCGGGGGCGCAGGGCCGCGCACGTCCCGTCTTGCCTGCCCGGCCGTCGCCGCTCTCGCCGTCAGGCGCACTGCAGCGATTCAGAATCGGGAGGGGAGAAAAGCCCATAGACACAATGAATCGTCGGTTTCCAGGAAGATCTGGGAAAATATGGGAAGTGGGGGGAAGAACAAAAAAACAGGAAATGCGTGAAAATATAAGGGAATCTGCTCATTTGTGTGTAGTTATTTGCGTGTCCCAGGGCCCCTTCAGCTCTCACCGTCAGGCCCACTGCAGCGATTCAGAAGATGGTCTCATACGGCGGGGCCGAGGTAGAAGATGGATGTCGGTTCGGGGAGGCCACCCTGATGTTCTTCGTGTTTGCGAGATGGTCTTGTGCATCCCGGGGGGGGAGGGGGCACCCTCGAGTGTTCTGCAGCTTGGCCAGCGGAGGCTAGAGTCTCGTGTCCTTGAAGGGTGCTCTCCTGTCCTGGGTCCGGCCATGAGGAGGGTCCGGGAGGTGGATCAAGTGGGCGGCGCTCCTCGGGCGGGGCCAGGACCAGGAGCAATCGTTCTAGAGCGTTCCATCGCGGTCAGAGTAGTTCGGAGCTCTCCAGGACGGCCGCGGCGCCCGATACATCCTTTGGAACCGCCAGACCTCAGAGATCCGCGATTTGTCCCGGTACCAGTTTGTCCAGGGATTGGATTCGTCTTAGCCTTCCTTCCGCGCCCTTGGATTCGCGGGCAGGGTTTCTCTGGCTGAATGCCTGCCAGAGGATTTGTTAACCGCATGTTCCGCGTGTGCTCGTTGCTTGCACGCCAGAGGATTTTGTATTGCGTTTTCCAGCATGCTCAGCGCACGGTCTGCCATCTAGGTGACCGCTCCGGTTACCAGAGCCGGCACGCAGACTTCCTTCTTCTTCCGCGCCCCAGCGCGATCTTCCCGAGCCATCGCCGGGCCGCACCGCGCAAGGAGACCCATTTCTGCATAGTACCTGTCAGGAGCAACTGTAGGGGGGGATGCGCCCAGGGGGGGAATGCATCGGCTTCCAATCAGCCAGTCATCGCCGGTAGGGGCCCGATAGCCCGGGCTGCCCCGGAGCGTGCGGATTCGCTATTGGGGCCTGTCGTCGATCTATTGGCATGTATCGCCGATTCAAGCTCGCTGTGCCACCTGAGCTGGTCCCCATCTAATTACACGCCGGTCGTTGAAACTGCGTATTTCTGCAAGCGCCTTCTTGCTTCCTGCTTCAATAGTCGATCCGCTTTTGCTGTGCTTCGTTACTCTCTGGGAGGGCCTGAGCCCAATCCACTTCGTCTGCCTTCCTACTTCATGTTTTGAACTACCTCTTCCGACCTACGTGTCTCGTTGCTCCTCACGGGGGAGGCAGAGCAAGGAGGTGGGCGCTCTCCTCCGCGCCACGGCGCGATCTCCCCCAGCCTTCCGCTGGGGGCCGCACCGCGCCGGGGGGTTCTCCGCATCCCCACGGCAGGTGCGCACCGTGCCGGCGCTGCGGCGGTGCCGCGCGCTGCGGCGGTGCGTCGGGGAGGCGCAGGGCCCGAGCCCTCTGGCACTCGGGCTCGCCCACGCTTGTCGGGCCGAACGAAAGGGGGGGGGCAGGGAGAGGGGGGTTACGACGTCTGCCGCATGCGGCTGGCTTCGGCCCCACCGAGGGGCCCATTCCTCGATATACATGGCCGCCTCCGGCGCCGGGAGGCGCGCCGGGAAGAGCAGCTACGCGAGCTGAGCCTCAAACCTCGCCTTTGCTATCCCCCCATTTTCGCCCGGCCCGAGTTTGGCGAGCCCGCCTGGAGTTCTGAGGGTCCAGTTTTCGCGGGATGCCTGCAGCGGGCGCCCCGGTCGAGTTTCGGATGGGGTCGCGCCATTTGTATGATGGCCCCGTCGGGCCAGCCTGACTCCCCCTCCCCTGGCCCGAGTCGTGTGTCTCCCCGACAGCGTCCCACCTCCTCCTCCTCCTCCTCCTCCTCCTCCTCCTCCTCCTCCTCCTCCTCCTCCCTTTCCGCCTCCTCCTCCTCCTCCTCCTCCTCCTCCCTCTCCTCCTCCCCCTCATCCTTCTCCTCCTCCTCCAAGCAGCCTCCCATGCTGGGGTCGTCACGACACGGAGCTGCCGTGCCCGGCCGTCGTCGCGTCTGCTGGCCCGGTGAGGAGACGGCGCCAAGCGGGCACGTCGGGGCGGCGGACTCGGACGACGACGACGACGGCTTCTCCTTCGGGGACTGCCGCACGCGCGGCTGGAACAAAGGCGGCCCAGACCCTTTCGCATCGTGAACAAGTCTCGACGGGAGGCGTGTTCCTATGTTTAGACCTCTGGGGGGCTCGCCTGGTCCCCGGAGCCATCAGACAACGATCCAGGATGAGTGAAATACCAGTCCCACGGAACGGGTCGAGACCTCGGGGATCGACATTGCGAAACAATCATGCCGTCGGGTGTGTGGGAGGAGATCAGGGAAGCAAAATCGGGTCGGGCGAAAGGGTCAGCAGATGCCATACGTGACCCTGGCTTGCGTAGCAAGCGGTAGTTTGACAGCAGGGCATGGCGAGGGGAAGCATCAACGAAGCGTGCACCCGAATCGTAGGTATGTTTGCCCATGAGCCGCATCGAGTGGCGTGCGTCGCGGCCGCCGTTCCTTTCACTTTGATCCTGAGTTAAACTGTGAACTTGAGGCTGCAGCGAGGAGGAACCTGGAGGAGTGGGGGGAGGAAGGTGGAGGAGGACGATGGTTAAGACGAGGAGGGAGAACTGGGGAAGCAGGACGGGCTGGGAGGGAGACGAAGAGAGAGAGGGAGGAGGAGGGAGAACGAAGGATGATGAAGGAGGAGGAGGATGGAGGAAGGATGAAAAAAAGGAAAAAGGATGAGGCGGAGGATGAGCGGGAAGGAGAAGGAGGAAGAGGAATGATTGTGTAGTAGTTGCTCTGCTTGTCGCCAGCGCCGCCTGCGTGAGGCCAGAAGGCTTCTCACAGTGTGAAGAGCAAGCTGAAGGCACTTCTTTTTATATCGCACTTGCGCGAGCTCGGCTAGCCTTAACTTGCATACCCTCTCGCCCAGAAATGATTTGGGAGAGTCGTGACACGTGCTGGTTGATGTCAACGCTACCTTGCACACCCATTGTTGTCGTCGTCGAGCGAGAATAATTCAATATCGCGTCGGTGCGTTTTTGCATTACTGGTCATCCATACTGTCGCTGCATTTGTTGAACTCCATGCTCGTGGGCTTCTCCCTGCGGACGAGACGCCCTCGCTTCGCAGGCCCCATCCAGCAGAAGCAGAGCGTTTTAACCTTTAGGTCCAGATGATTCGTCGTCGTCGCCTGGCGCTCCTCGCCACTCTTATCCAAAAGCCCTGGGTCCTCCGAAGGGGCGCGAAGATAGCCGCGCGTCGCGCGTCGCGGTCCGGGCCAGAGCGGTTGCCCGTTTTGGGATGGGGTGGTGCGATGGCGCGCTGGCAGCAGTCGCGGCGCGATCGTCCCTCGCCGAGCGGTGCGCGGAGCCTTCGCGTCTTTCGAGGTGTTCGTTGCGCACCGCCGGGGGGGGGGATCCAAGGTACCTCCTCCTCCTCCTCCAGGATCTTCAGGAGATTGCGTTGCAGAGGGCGAGGAGGTGGAGGACGAGTGCGGAAAGAGTAGGAAGAGGATTGGGAATGCGAGCAGTTCATCTTCTCGGCACGGGCGCGCTACGCGAGTAGGACGCAGAGCGCTGGCGTTGGCCCAGGCGACAGGCGTTGATCGATCTTACCCATGTGGCGTGCCCACACAGGAAGGCGAAGACGCTGAAGTCAAGACCATTTGGGGCTGGGGACAGGGGCTCTTGTTTCCAGGCCGTTCCTTAGATCTCGGTCCAGGAACGTATTCGTTGCTGAGGCCGTGGCCAGAAGCCTGTTAGTTCTGTATATGTTTTCTTGTTGGTTGCAGGGTGATTGTAGCAAACGCGGCTCTCAGGTACAGTGCGCGACAGAGAAGAGGGCCGTTCAGGCAGCCCCCGCTTCTCTTGCGGCCGCGGAGTTGTGGGAAAAGAGAGGTGGGAGGCAAGAGAAGGGAAGAGAAGAGGGGCTGAGAGTGTCGATGCCGAGACGTGGAGGTTCAGGGGCGCAGAAATATGCACGAGGGGAGTCCTGAGTGCGTCTCCTCGCTTCTATCATTTCTCTGCGGTTCCCACTGATGCATGCTCTTCGATGTTGCCTGGTCGCAATGTATCGCAAGTGCAGTTATGTTGCTTCACTCGTTTGTCAGCCTGGTGATATTTCGAATCCTTTTTCCGAGTCGAAAAACCAGCGTATTGGTGTCATTCAGTTTTGAATTATTCTCGATGGAGTCTTCGTGTCGTTATCTGGTTTCTGATATAGAGAGTGAGTATCTAGATGAGGATTTGAGAGTGACTGGGACAGGGAGAGCGAGAGGAAGATAGAAGTCTATCTATGTTGTATTCGTATGATGAGGCCGCAGCTAGCAGAGGAAGTACATTGTGAAGATACGATGAGGCTCAGCGCAAGGATCCGACGTCGCGCGCGGGGAAGAGATATTCTGCAATATCGGGAGGATGACCATGTTTCTCATCGGCATTGTTGCACCGCAGTGAGACGCAGTAGAATGCACATTGTGACATTGATGTGAATCAGTTGTAGCGAGTGGAGGGGTGACCGATATTTTGTGGTCCTTCGCGATTCGGCAGCGGGCGCTTACCAATTGCGTCACGGTCTCGTTCCAACTGGGGTAGAAGGAAGAGGAGCAGCAGGAGTATGAAGGACGAGGAGGAGGGAGGAGACAGAGGAGACGATGAGGTCTTAGAGCAGTGCGAAGAAGAGATCTGGAATTTGTCGCTGCTTGGAGTTTGGACTGTTTCTCGGTGAAGGGGGAAGAGGGGGGGAGAAGGTAGATGAGGGGGTAGAGGAGGAAGGAGGATCCAGTAATACATAAATTGTCGGAGGTCCGCGCAGATTTCCTGGATCGGCGCCAGACTATCGTCCCTGCCGCTGGGAGCGCGCCAGGGCGGCGCCGAAGGCGCCACCAGGGAGGTCCGGCGCCGAGCCGAGAGATCCGCGCGGACCTCCAGAAGTGTATGTTTGTGTGGTTGCCTCTTCCTCGAGCAACGTCGGCAAACATATACGCACTGGAAGATTCATCTCCCCATCCAGCCTGGCCAGGCCCGCCCCAAGGCCGGCATCGGTGGGCGCACCCTCCTGGCCCAACCAGGAGGCGCGCCCACCGACCCCGGGCCCCGGGGCTGGACTGGCTCCAAGGCCTGTGCTGGCGGATGTCTGGTCGGCGCCCCTCTCCCCCCAGATGGTTGTCCCGTTTCTCCTTCTCCGATTCTGGGTGAAGGGGGGAAGAGTGGGGAGAAGGGAGATGAAGAGGAGGAGGAGGAGGAGGAGGAGGAGGAGGAGGAGGAGGAGGGGGGATGAGGATGGAGGGAGGGGCAGCAGCAGCAGGAGGAGGAGGAGCTCGCTATGGCTCGCCCTTCCGTGGCCAGGAGCTCGGGCTGCTCTCTGGTCGTGGCTGCCCGCGCGGCGCCTCGATGGTGCGGCGCGGCTGCGCAGTAAGCGGCCGCCAGGTCATATGTACCTGGCGTGCCCCGCGCCGAGCGGCACGGTCGTGTATTCGTCGAGCGGCTCGGCTGGACCCACGTCGGTCACCCCCTCTGGAAAACCGAGCCACTTGAAGCCACCACTCGCATGAAGTCCATCAGACATCGAAGACGTCTACTGCGGCGAGTCACAGCCGCCCCATGCCTTTCAGGATACGCCCATGTGGCCAAACGTTTGGGCAAAGTTTGAAGAAGCTTTATTGGACCGTGTGTTCCCACAGGCGTTGTGGAAACCATTCGGGGAACACGTCTCTTTGGGGCCTCTGGGCGCTTCTTGGGAGCCTCGTTGGCCGTCTTATGGCGCTCCTGGCCCGCAAGACGCCGTCTGAAAGCGTTTCGGGGGCCTTTCTGAACCGACTTGGGGCCATCTTTGGGTGCTTCAGGGCCGTCTCGGAGGCCACCTTGGGCGTCTTGGAGGCCTCTGGGACCGTCGGGCAATATTGGGGTCGTCATGGGGCCATCTTGGAGGCCTCTTGGGCGATCTTAGGGCGATCTTGGGGGCCTCTTGGGCCGTCTCGGGGCGTCGGAAAGCCGAAAAGAAGCACATGCCCATCTTTTAAAATGTTTATATCTATATATGAATATATGTAACAAAAAAGAAACGGAAATCAATGATTTGTGTCTCCTGGGGCCTTACGGAGGCCCTTTAGAGGCCTCTTGGGCCGTCTTGGAGGCCTCTTGGAGGCCTCTTGGGCCATGAGCGGTATTGGGTCGTCTTGGGTGCATATTGGGGCTGTCTTGGGAAATGTTTGGACCCTCTTGGGCCTTATTGGGGCCATCCTGGAGGTGTTTTGGAGGCCTTCTTGAGCCATCTGGGCAGTCTTGGAGGCGACTCGACCCACGAGAGATTAATTTTCGGTGGCGTTCCAGGTGTCCATCGCAGTGAACCGAAGCCCCAGGGGGGCCTTCAAAAGAGTCAAAAACCATGAGACGTCTATCACGCCAGGCACCCGTGTGGCAAGACTACACGGGGGCGGCGGATCGAAGACGCCTACGGCGAATCATTGCCGCCCCCTGCCTTTCTGGAAGCGCACACGTGGCCGAAAAGTGGGTCAGACCTCTCAAACCATGTGTTCCCCCAGCCGCTGTTGAAACCTTTCGGGAAACACGCGAGGAAGGGAAAAGGGAAAAGGGAGTACACCTTAGGCGATGCTTAAGAAAACCTAAGTTTTCGTCCAGAGTCTCAATTATTCTTACCTTTTCAATGTAAATCCCAAGATTTTGATGGAAGTTCTGGGTTTTATTCCATTTCTGAGACTATGAATTTCTTAACCCATGATTTCTTAAGCATTTCGCAGGGTGTAGAAGGAGGAGGCGGAGGCGGAGAACTCTGGGCACCGTCTCGACCGGCGAAACCAAGGGGCGGTGCAAAAATTCCGGGCGGCCGGCGCGCCGGGCCGAAGCATTTTTTAGGGGCAGGGCTGGACCTACACGGTGTTTTTGGCGACTTCGTGGGCCGTTTTCGTTTCGACTTCGTTTTGAGGTAATGGCGGATTCGAGACAAAAGCGAGGGAAAACGAAAACAAAGCGAAAACGAGAAACACCGTTGAGGTTCAGCCCTGCCTAGGGAGGGGGAGTTCTAAAGGAGCCCAACAAATTCGAGCCTCAGGAATGCCAGGCAGTCTTGTGGTAAGACCACAGGGGGGCGGCGGATCGAAGGCGCCTGCGGCGAATTACCGCCGCCCCCATGTCTTTTAGGATACGCCGATGTGGCCAAACGTTTGAGCAAAGTTCGGGCACGCTATTAGACCATGCGTTCCCCCAGCCGTTGCGGAAACCCTTCGAGGAACCCGTGGGGAAGGAAGAGGAGGATGAGGAGAGAGAGGAAAAAGGAGAAGGAGGAGGAGGAGGAGAAAGAAGGAAGAGGAGGCCTCTTGGGGGCCTCTTGGAGGCCCCTTGGGGGGCTCCTTGAGCCTCTTGGGAGCCTTTGGGGGCTTCTTGGGGGCTTCTTCGACCGTCTTAGGGCGTTCCTGGCCCGCACGACGCCGCTGGAAGGCGTCTTGGGGACCTCTCTGAACCGACTTGGGGCCCGCTCAGGGGTGTTTCAAGGCCGTCTCGGAGGCCATCCTGGGCATCTTGGAGGCCGTTGGGGCCGTCTTGGGGCAATCTTGGAGGCCTTTCGGGCCGTTGTGAGGTAATCTTGGAGGCCTTTTGGACGAATCGTAGGGCGATCTTGGGGGCCTATTGGTCCGTCGGAAAAGCGAAAAGAAGCAAATGCCGAAATCTCTCAAATACCTGAAACGAGCAATGACTTGTGCCTCCTCGGGCCTTCCTGGAGGCACTTTTGGAGGCCTATTGGGCATTCCTGGAAGCCTCTTGGGCCATCTTGATGCCATCTTGGGGCCATCTTGGGCTCTCTTGGGGCAACATTGGCCGTCTTGGTTGTATCGTGGGGTCAATGTTGGGACATGTAGGAGCGAGAAAGGCAGCCATCTGGGCAAATTGTGCGCGTGGTTCCGGTTGGCCAGCGCAATGAACCGAAGCCTCAGGGGGAGTCTTCAGAAGAACCGAAAAACATCAGACGTTTAGCACGCCAGGCACCCTTGTGATAATCAAAAGGGGCGGCGGATGATGGAAAGAGCGAGGTACGAGCGAGAGACGTTTCGCAGGGGGCGAAGTTTTGAGAGGTAGGGGGTCTGGGGGAGGGGGCTAGCGGGGGAACAAAAGTCTAGTTGCTCTCGCGCTTCGTTTTTGTTTTCGAGTGAAGAGGCTCCCTGGCGGCTAACATGGCCACTTTCTTCTTATGGTTTCGAGTGACGCGGCCCAAGACGGCCCAAGAGGGCCCCAACACGGCCAGACGGTCCAAGAGAGTCTCGAGACGGCTCCGGAGGCCGTCAAGAAGGCCCCCGGGAGCGCCTCAGGAGGCCAAAGACATTGATTTGTTTGAGGGCGTTTGCAGGTTTTTCGGGTTTTCCCTTCTTCAGTCCCAGAAGGGCCCCAGGCGGCCCAAGAGGCCCCAAAGATCGTCCCAAGACTGGCCCAAAACGGTCAAAGAGGGCTCCCAGACGGGCCCAAGACAGCCCCAAAGATCGTCCCAAGGTTGCCCCAGAGGCACCCCAAAGGGGCCGAACCTTGTCCAAGAGGGCCCCCAGACGGCCCAAGGGGGGCCCAAGACGGCCCAAGAGGGTGCCTAGACGGCCCCAAGAGAGCCCCAAGAGGGCCCCAAGACGCTCCCAAGCGGGCCCCAGGAGAAGGGGGAGGAGGAGGAGGAGGAGGAGGAGGAGGAGGAGGAGGAGGAGGAGGACCATCACTTGGCTAATGGGGAGGCTAAGGGTTGGCCGTCCCGACCCTAACCCGAAACCTCGTGGCACTGGGCCACCAGTTCTTCTCCACAGCGGCCATGGGTGCCGCTGAGACGGCAGTGCGCTGCCGACGCTGAATGCGGTGCTGGGGCCTGGTGTGACCTTGCACACCAACCAGGCCGCAGCAGCACCGTACCGCCACCGCCCACGATCGTGGGGGGTGGGGAAGTGGGGCAGAGCCACTGTCGGGGCGGACTGGCAACCCAAGTCCACTCCCGTGCTCAGAGGCCCCCGCGGGGTTGTCGCCTGGCTGACGGAACCCCAAAGCTCGGGTTCTAGGGTTGGCTGCGTAACCAGCCCCGTCAGTCCAGGAAAGAAGCTCTGACTCCAGGATACAGCAGTGGGCTGAGGCGGAGCTGCAGCCCTGTGCCGCAAGAGTGTGCAGCGCTCCTTCCCCCTGAGGCGGGGTGCCTGACACGCGTGCCTGACCACACGCGCACGCACAGTACACAGTTGGGCCCAGATGTGGCGTTGCACACCTGGCCACAGTCCCGTTCCTCCGCCGCCTGTGGCGGGGAGGTGGGAAGGTGGATCTGGGCAGCAGTCAGGGTGGGCAAGGGAGCCCAAAGCCCACCCCCGTGCC